AGGGGCGGGTGTTTCCGTAAACGCGTGTGTGAGGGTCTTGATTGGTGAGTGCGGGGTTGAGCGTGAGCTGTGTCTCGGTGTTACTCGGTGATAGCCCAAAACACCAGTCGCGCTAGTGCGTCATGTCGCCATCTCTGCGCGCACGCGCTTGTGCGATGACCTCTTCACGAGTCCAAATGCATGTACGCATGCTCACATGCAGCCACACTAATCATGTCTACTTCCTCTTCCAGTTATGCCAACTATCTCCCGAACGAACTGTTGCTTGAGATCTTGGCGTACTTTGCATCGTGGGGCGAGATCGAGAGGCAAACCGCGCTTGCACGCTTTTCCGCTGTCAATAGGTAATGTGTCGCATTGAGGATCCTGGTCACATGAGCTTACATCAGTAGACAGTGGTATGATGTATGTGAATGCCATGCTACGGGCCATCAAACGTGTTGTGACTAATTTGGCTGTTCGATGCATAGATAGCAGTTCAACCACTATACGAATCACCATATCTATCAGGAAGTGCGTACGATCTCTTTGTACGAACGATATGTCCTTCTGTGCTAGCCCGCATCAAGGTAAGGATATTCCGAGTAGTTGGTGATACATGCTAACCTATCACAAGCCCACAGCATTGTCAAGTCTAGTAAAGTCGCTGGACTTATCCCACATCGTACATCAAGGCGCCAAATCGACAACAGCTAGATTGCTAGGCCGAACGAGATTATCTCTTGAAGTCTTCGTAGCACCTCAAGCTAGCTTTGCAATCAACTGCTGGGCTAGCCTGAGCAAATGCACCCGGCTACGCGTTCTCGACCTGAGCCTGTTGGTAAACCCCAGACACACGATCTTTGTTCAAATCGTAAACTGACATGCTCTTCTAAAACCAGGGTATCCGAATGCATCAGTTTCCAAAGCTTAAACCAAACGATACGGCAACTTGGGGATCTACGCGAGCTTTACTTGCCTCGCTGTTCATCTAGATATGAACCCTCCGCCACACCCGGTGGTCCCAGTATTCGCTGGCCACCTAACCTGGAACACCTCGCTCTATCTGGATCGGTCTCTGGTCAATTCCTATGGGATATGCTACGACAACCGGCCAACTTCCCTCCGACTTTCTCTTCGCTGAGTATTCACCATAGTCCAGGTCTAGATCAGTACGTCAAGACTCTATTGCAACGAGTTCACCGTACGACTGCCACTGGAGGATTGGATGCTAACATAAAGACCGCAGGCAAGGTATCAGACCCCTACTTGACAGCCTATCTGCATCGCTTACGGTCGTCGAACTCCGCGATCTACCAGCCGTCAAACAAGGCCGATTGAACAGTGTACTAGACTGGCTACCAAACCTCGTCTCTCTAACCATAGCACTAGACTACATCGACAGTCGATTCGGAAACATGCCACCAGATTTCTCACCAGCCCGATGGCAAGAAGCCAAGCCACTATACAAACTGACTCTCCTCGCTTGTGGACGGACGGGTGATCCCTCACGTAGTTTCACGATGACTGATCTCTTCACCTTAATAGACGAACGGTATCTAGGCCGTTTGCGCTATCTAAACATAGGACATAGCACGGAGTGGCAAATTGAGGATGAAGTGCTGGGCGCACTCGAGTCCAGTGTATATGAGCAGGACAAGGAGAGTTGGTTGGGCCGCAGATGGCACTACGAAGACGTGGATTTCACGGATACGAGGGGTTTGGAATACGAGCAATGGATCACAGACATGGCGATTGGGAGGGAAATGAGACCTCGGTTTCGGCTTTTGAGGAATCGATAGTTGAACTGCTTGATGATACTCAGCACTTGCTCACGTTCTCATTCTAATGTATAGTTCAACGCATTACTCATTGAGCTGATAATTGAATATAAGTTAGCACTCCTAGTCACATGTGCTACTCAGAAAAGAAAACCCCGAAGACAGTGTATCGCGAAGCCTAAAGTATACCCAAACCATCTAAGACTGACAATAATGAAAAGGATGTAACACTCAGAAATACATTTTGGTTCGATCGCCTCCTTGTGTCCCCAATTGCTCTCCCTAGTCGTCACCCAAGACAATCCTTCTTCTCCTCCAGCCACTCAACGGCCTGACGCTCTCCCTCTCCACCTCTCTCCCGCCAACCCTATGATAGCTTCTCCACTTCTTCTGCTCGGTCTCCTTCTCTTTCTCCTCGAAAGGAGAGTCGCCCCAGAAGCTATCTCGTCGTGTACGGGTCCTTTCCCGTGAGGTAGACCGCTCACGAGACTCCCAACGCTCATCCACCCACCACTTCTCACTACGATGGAAAGGATCGCATGAGGGTGAGAGAAGCGAGAAAGTATGGTGATGGTGCGACGAGTGTGGACGGCTGAACTTAGCGTTGATGCCGAGGCGGAAAGCTTGGTCGTCTGGCTCGGAAGAAGCGGCGCGGTCTGAGGAGTATTCGTACGTACGTCGTGTGTCGTAGCTACGGCGTCTGTTCTCGTCTTCCGCATCGTTTTGGGGGCGCCGAGTGTCAGTCCAGACGTTGAAGCGCTCGAGTTGAGAGGGCTGATCCCGTACTGTTAGGGAGCGGGATGACCTGACTGGCTTATGGTTGGACGAGTAGGGGTAGTCATCATGGCCATCTTCGTCATCGAGATCTGAGAGTGTGATGCTCCGCCGGTGTTTGCTGGAGTCGTGATGAACGAGAGGACGTGAGTAGTAAGATTCATACTCTGGAGTGCGCTCGCGGGTGCGAGTACGCGTTAGGTGCAGGTATGACATAGTCGGCTGCCTGGTGCGGCTGATTAGTCAGGCCTTGAGATGATGACTGTGATTTGGTAGGTATGGAATGATTGTAATGACAATGCTCAGGAGAAAGTTATGCGTTTTGCAATGTCAATGGATTGCAGGCACTTATATTCGTACAGGTAAGGACTGGAGAAGTAAGCCCACTGTCCTCCAGAACCCTCTTATATTATCTGACGAAATGTTTCAACTGCCTAGACGACTTAGAAATCACCTTGTTTGGCTAGCATGGGCTCCATGAATTTCAACGTGCACCGCCTCTTTTTCTGCGGCTCGATTGTGGCTTGTGCAAACCGCTCCAGGATTTGATTGGCTGCGCCCACTGTCGGCGTGCTCCGCGTGAACGATTATTTACCGATGAGTTCCTGACCGCCAGAACATTGAGGCTTGAATGGAGTCTTCAGAGTTGCCTAAGTATATGATCCTAAGGGCCCCTGCAGTGTGTATCGTGGAAGGGTCATGGCAGCTGAATGTGCGGTCGCCACTACGAGGCTGTGACAATGTGGAGGTGTGGGGGCCGAAAACACGACGGTGAACGTTTGGGTTTGTGTAATCAAGGTGCGAAAACGTAGCGGGTAATCTCCGATGTTGAGCTGGATGCCTACAGCATAACTCCATGTTGTCCCGATGTCTATGCTGATGTCTCTGGTTATTCGCTCTCGTGGGTACCTCGCCGGTTGGAGCTTACGACGCTCAAAGGGTCATGCGCTTTGGATGAATCATTGTTTGGGTCAGGGGCTCCTTTTTCAGCCTTCTCGTTAGTAAGGTTTGGTCAAGAACAGCGAGTATTGGTATGACGATGTCGCAATTGAGAGATGGGCAGTGAAGAGCATGACCAAAATTATGATCCATGTAGGCGATGTCCTTCGTCGCAGTGGCAGTGACTCATCGGTTGCGCACTTGCACGTCGTAGTCATTCGGATATTGATGTCTCCTAATCCAGGAGGCCTGCAATAAAGACTGACCAGGCGGTTGACGCACACTGATTGAAGAGCATTGGGAATCTTCCCCATGTGACCCTTACGAACAAGTGTGCTGCCTGGGAGGTGCCATTGTTGGCCAGCCACACAGATAACGTCACCCAAAACCTTCGTCCTGTTTCTCACGGATCTTCGCTGCCTTCTCGTTCGGCTCATCGCCTCGTCGACTGCCTACGCAGCTCTTGTACCTTTCTCTCTCCAGCTATTCCTGTTGCTTCTCTTAGCGCTTCTCACGAAATAGCCTTATCTGCAGGTTCGGATTTCAGCGCAGTAGTCAAATTAATTAGACTGATTAAATGTAGACAGTATTGTGGCTTATAAACGTCAGATTAGAAGCCAGACTGTTGGCCTTACATTGGTATACAAGATAAAAGCCGAACAGGTCTACAGACTACATAAAGATAGAAACTTGCAAAGCAGGTTACTTAGCGTTAATGTAGGCTCTAGGGTGTTAGACTTTCATTAGGTTAGTGAAGGCGTAAACGTACTGACAGCACGTTCGGGACTGGGCTGTTAGTCGCTACGTCTGCGTGTGTGAAGAGACGGAGGCAGCGCTTGAGTATGCATGCGCTATACCAGCCTGGTTACAGGATCACACAGGGCACGAGATACGAAATCAATCGTGATTCATGGGTCGCAATCAACAATTAGAGGTCTGTCGTGGAGGTATACAATACGGTACCTAGGTATGTTCGAGGATATGTGTGGGTGTGAGCCATTGCGTATGCTTCTAGAGCGTAGTGTATCCGAGCGTGCTGAAAAAAGAATGGACGTCTTCGCGTTCCCTTGAATTCGATCCTTCTCGTTGGTGGTATAATTGCATCTAGACGCTTGTGCATTGGAGAGGCGGAGGGACTCAGATGCCGGTCAGCTGCAACGCGTTCTTTGTACCGCCACTGCCGCGATAGTGCATGCACAACACCTGGAAGCGTCGCCATATAAGGCAGGTATGGGTCCTAGTGCTGATGTGAATCTTGGAGGATCGCTGAACCGTCGCTGTCGTTGGTCGTAAAGTTGCAGCGTGGTGCATGAGACTTCGGAGATTGTGACAACGCCCGGCAGCGCTTGGCGTGCTCGTCGACGTTCGGCTAGCCACGATGAGGCTTGCCCTGCGGCACAGCGCGCGAACTTACTCACTTCGAGAACATGGCGGGACGCAAGGGGCCTGAGTGTCTGAGGGCGCTGGAGGCTCTCGCTGTCTCCTTACCAATGCCAGATTGACGGCATGAGGGAGCGCCGCACCGACATGTACCTTCCGCCAGAGCTCTTGACGCTATTATTTCTAGCGAACGCCGCAGCAGCTGTCCCTCGTGCGCAACCAACATCGTACCAACTTGAGGGCATACACGCTAATTGCAAACAGAGACCTCTTTCTTACCCAACGTCACCGAGATTGCTCCCACCCAACAGTCGACCGTATCGATCGCGGCGCAGATAACAGAACCGTCCGATGCCACTGCTACCGAGAGTTCTGTAGATCGGGTCGACGTGAAGGTCGAAGTGTGTACTCTCGACGCCAGCAGCTGTTGTTCTATCGATCCGGGTAGTTGTGGTGGCTTGCAATGGATTGTTCTTCCGTCTGCCACAGGTTGGGGACTGACGGGTCCAGCTACCGATCGCCTCGTGACACTTACTCCGACCGCCACGACTGTCACGACGACTCGGCCGACCATCCTCAACCTCGAGACCAACGTCCTCGTATGGGGGACCGAACAAGAAAGCGAGGGCAGTGCTGGACAGCCGGGCCTCATCATAGGACCGAGCACAGTCAGGGCTTCGAACACGATGGGAGAAGAACCCGGTGCTACAGGATCGGCGCAACAGCAGATAGAGCAGAACAGTCTCCTACTGCAGATAGTCTCTCAGATTGGGCGCGCACCATCGAATGTGCAGCCAGCTCAACCCGCATCTCCTGCGACAGAAAACCCTGGTCAAACTGTAGCGCCCATCGATAACCATAATGGAGGTGATAGTGCGCTTGCCCAGCCAGCAACCACTCCCGACTCTGGCATGGCGAGCAATACGGACATGATATCTCCACCACAAACAGCGCCAGCAGTAGCCATTGGCGAATTTGTATATGGAACACAGACGTTAACGCTTACGGCTGGTCTTAGCACCAACATCGGGAGCAACTTCTTCCCTACCTTTGTAGGATTAACGACTGACGCCGAAGGTAACACTTTGGTCTCGGTCTTTTCGGACGGAACTGCTGTCATTGCCACTGTGCGTGTTGCGCCTACTACAATGGTTGTACCAAGATCTGGCTTCGAAGCAAGTACCACTGATGCTGCAAATCCTGGTGAGCAAACTGGCGGTTTGGCTACTACCTCCAGCAAGGAGGCTGGAGCCGGGAGGAGGCGTAAACTGGAGTGGTGGATGGGTGTCGTTTTGGGCGCACTTAGCTTCGGAGCGATATTCTAGTAACAGGTGACATGAGCATTCGATTCATGCCGCCTTAACATAATGATGTTCTAATGAACAATAAGTCGCGATCATGCGCGCAATCACCTGTCAAACTGCACACTCATAGATTCCCGAGCCTCCACCTTAGACAAGCAAGAAGCTAAACAGGCCTGCAGCCTACATGAAGATCATGATGTATAAAGTAGGTAACCTTACGTTAACGTAGGCTCTAAGGTGTTTAGTTTTTTCCTTAGATAAGGTGCCTCTGCCGTGCCCTACTACTTGTTCCACCGAAGCCGGCTCCGCTCTCTGTTGTCTCTTGCTCGCGCTCCTGGCTGAATCCAGCATGTGAGAACCAAGAATCGAGGCTGGAGAAAAGGTGATAAATTCAATTGTGTGTGGAGGCGGGAAGGACGGTAGTTCATGTCAGATACTGGTTGTTTTCAATGCGTCTTTCGATAGTAATATTGTCTATGCACTTGCTGTCAGTAGATACGGATAACTAACGAATCTTGGTTGTGTTCATTGCTTGAACCCATGGTTTCCAGAAATCCTCAATACCGCGCTCGTAATTCCAACCAGTCCAGTTGTAGTTTGTCATACCCCACGTATCTGGGAAACCCTGAACACCCGATCTGATTCTGTACGAACCAGCGATAGACCACATCATCCAGCTGATGTCGTTCTCGATGGTGTACTCCTTCAAGCAGTTTTGTAGTGTGTTATTGAAGAGTGTCTCGTCTTGCGCACTACCGAACTCGCTCAGGATGACTGGTGTCTCGCGCACAGCCTTCGGGCAGTCACCCGTAATGTTGCAGGCGGCTGGTGCATCAATGCCCAGAGCATTGAAGCCGTTGCGGTAGAAGTTTGCCTTGACGATGTCGCAGGTGCCCGTGTCGATGTCCTCACTCATGCTGTAGAGATGGAGTTCCCAGACAAGCTTATCAGCCCAGGGGTGATCGTCGAGATTGAAGTACACTGGCTCCCTCCTCGCGGCGTCGCGAATCGCGGTGCACTTGTAGCATGGAGCGGTGAGAATGTTCTTGCCGCTAGTGAGTGCTGACAGATCTTGCCCGTACTGCATACCTCCCCAGAGGATAAGAAGATCAGGGTTGGCCTCGTGAATTGCGTCAGCGCCAGCGGTCATATTGCCGACGAGGGTGTCCCAGTTGTAATAGAGATCCGTGACGTTCCAAGATTCGCGCAGCTCGTTGCGAAGAGACATACTAACTACGTTTGGGTGATCCTTTGCCCAATTGGCAACATAGGAAAGACCGCGGCGCCAGTGCGTTGCGTTGAACTCAAGGTCGTCGAACCATGCGGTACCGTCGATGTGTGAGCAGCACCACTGCGCTTTGCCTGTGTGCACATCTGGGCTGATGAAAATGCCTTTGGTAGCAGCGATGCGTGCGATGTCGCTCCAGATCTCGAATCGAGTGGTCTGAGCTGTCCAACCAGGGTTCTTCTCGATGATATCGTTGGTTACTTTGGTGCCGTTCACATAGCCCAGGGCGTTGATGAGGCCAACCTCGAGTGGCACGTCAACGCCGTTTCGATCGTAGACTTGGTCAATCATCTCAATGGCGTAGCCCATGCGGATGTAGTTGAAGCCAACACCCGCGATGTCATCAAGAATCTCTTCCGCTGACGCCCACTCAAGTCCTTCAGGAACCATAGTCTCGCCTACAGAGGATCTCAGTTTCTTGCAGTGGGGCATGAGTCTGAACTTGATACATACCACTCATTGGCCAGTTAACACCAGCCCAAGTCGTCTTTTCGCCATTGCTATCAACAATATCTCGGCCTCTGGTACTGTACGGACCGTTGAAAGATGGAGACGTGCTGTTCGTTGCCTGTCGACGCGCATTGTACCGGAAAGCAGTGTGGCTCGAAACTTCGGGCAAGTATCCTGCCGAAACGACAGCGCCAGCAAATGCTGTGCCAAGTAAAACGCGCAGTCCCAGCATGGTCAGTGAATTGAGTGATGCCTTGCGGGGTGTGGCATAGACACTGGGTACATTCGGACCTTTATACTTCTCGGTACAGCCATCGTGAACAGCTAACTGGGAAGAGCCTCAATGCCCGTCGGTAGGCTTGCTCAATGTAAGCCAAAATCCGATGATCATCGTCACTTCTCGCCGGGTTGTCGGATAAAAGCTGTCCGAGTAAGGGTACATCCTCCGCATTTGCGGGGAAACATACGAGAAATTAGTACTTGGCAGACTGACGCTCTCACCACGGAGATTCCGCCGGCGCAGAGCCCAGCGGAAGTGTTACGCTTTTCGAACTAACAGGTTTAGCTCAGCTTTTGGTCTTAGGCACTCAAGACTCAGTTTAAGCGTTGCTGTGAGCCATGAAGGGTGCCGTTGTTCGGCTATACCTAGGGAATGGCTTATCTTATCGACACGTGCAGCGTGTTCCTAGCGCGTTTCTGAGTCCCTTCACGCCACACGACTTGAGCCCGCCCTCAATGAGACGTCATCTTTCGCACAAACCGTCATGGACGCATTGTTGGAAGGGCTTAACGACGCGCAGAAGAGCGCGGTGACAAGTCCCGCCAATGTTGTTCAAGTGCTCGCGCCGCCGGGGTCAGGCAAGACCAAAACACTTACAGCACGCGTCGCGTACCACATCAATCACGAGCGACTACAACCATGGAACATCATCGTATGCACGTTCACCATCAAGGCCGCACGGGAGATGAAGGAAAGAATCAAGGGTTTTGTTGGAGAGAAACTTGAGGCGAAACTGATTCTGGGTACCTTCCATTCGGTCGCGCGTCGCTTCCTGTCTCGGTACGGTCAAGAGATTGGGATTGATAAGAACTTTGGCATCGCGGATACTAGCGACAGCACAGCAATATTGAAGCGTATCGTGACGCGCCATCAGTACACAGTAGAGCCTGGCCATGCTCGCTCCAGGATCTCCAAGTTGAAAGCCAAGGGCGTCACGGCCGACGACTTTCGCAGAACAGCTAAGAATGTCAACGATAACGAGTTTGCTATGGTATATTCGTCCTACCAGGAACACTTAGCCGCCTCAAATCTCCTCGACTATGACGACCTCCTCGTCCGCTGTGTGGATCTGTTAAGAAAATCACCATCTTGTGTCTCGACGATACAGGCTGTACTCATTGACGAGTATCAGGATACCAACAACATCCAGTATGAGTTGATGAGATTGTTATCTCAGAAAACAAGACGTATTACCATCGTCGGTGATCCGGACCAGAGCATATACAGCTTCCGATCAGCCGAGATCAAGAATTTGCTGCGGATGCGCACTGATTACCCAGAATCAGTTGTGATCAATTTGGAGAACAACTATCGATCTTCGGGATGCATCCTAAGCTCCGCTATGGCTGTCATAGAGCAGGATGAGAGTCGGCCACAGAAGTCGCTGATTGCTACCCACGGTGTCGGCGAGCAACCCACTCTTCGCCATCTTATATCGGCGAATGTGGAGGCAAAATGGATCGTTGAAGAGATACACCGGACCAAAACGCTTACAGCCGGGCTGTTGAGCTTCAATGACTACGCTATACTTGTGCGATCGTCTCCACTCACACTACAGATTGAGAGAGCGCTCGGACAAGCTGGAATTCCGTATCGCATGGTCGCTGGCACGAAATTCTTCGACCGTGCGGAAATCAAAATTATCTTGGACTACCTCCGTGTGATAAGCCAGCCTGAACACAACGATGCGGTAGCGCGTGTCATCAACGTACCTTCTCGGAAGGTCGGCGATACTACTGTCAAGGCCCTTCTCGAAGAAGCAGAGATCAGGAAAGTGACCTTGTGGAAGTTAGTGCTTGACGTGGCTCAAGGCAGAAGAAAGCCGGAAAGCAAAGTGTCCGCCCAGGCGCAGAAGGGTATTGAGCAGTTCGTCAATGTTATCATCACCTCTCGCGAGAAGCTTCTTCCTGCTAAAGGCGAAGACTGCAACCTGCTAGGTCTTATATCGCACGTCACAACCAAGATTTCTTTCCAGTCCTATCTCAAGCAGGCGCACAAAGAGAACTGGCAAGATCGATGGGCCAACGTGGAGGAGCTGGTGAATCAGGCGACACAAATGGCTACAGCAGTCGCCAATGGAGAAGAGATCTCTGACGACGCCTTGCCAGCAGTAGAAGGCATCGAACAGCGGCACGACACTGCAGCTGATATCTTGTCCAAGTTTCTAGCCAATGTCACCCTCTCGAGCGCGGCAGACCAGGAGGGCAGTGAACTAGACCAGGTCACCATCTCCACCATTCACGCAGCAAAGGGTCTTGAATGGCCTGTGGTCTTCATGCCTGCTGTTTACGACGGATCCATCCCCCATTCCCGAGCGGACGATCACGACGAAGAACGGCGCTTGCTATATGTTGGCATGACTCGAGCACAAGGCTTACTGTACTTAAGTTGCCCAGTCAAACAGTCGGGCCAGGAGCAGACGACACTTTCGAGATTCATATCGGATCGGAAAATCCAAAAGCTTTTCAGCAATAGAGGGCCAGATCTTGCATTTAAGAGGAGTACCGTACCAGAGTTAGCCCGCATCCTTCGCAGAGAATGCCCATCATCTGAAGATATGAAGACAGCTCTCTGCTTGTTGGAACGTCCAGAGGATGACCAGTACCCAACGACTCGGGAGGAGATTGACGGAGATGACCCAACATGGGCCGCATACGGTGGCAAAACCAACGGTGCTGGGCTAGACCAATCTTTCAAGCGGCGTAAGTTGGAATCGTCAAGCTCTCTGTCTAAAGACTCAGTAGCATCTACGATGAACCGAACGTCTGCTTTCTCGACAGCGACAACCACGATGCAGAGTGTAAAAGCCGGGTTCACTAGCGCACGAGATCTTGGAGACCTACAAGCAATGCAAAGAGAAGCAGAGCGGATTCGCACTCTAGCCAGTGCTCCATACGTCGAGGCTGGTAGAGAAGTCTACAAGGATGCGAAGAAGGCAGAAGCAAAGCCTGCGCGCGCAAAGGTTGTCAAGCCACGTGCAACTGGTCAAGGTTCCATTACGAG